GGTTACCTAGAGATATGTTTCGCTTAAGATAAATCTCCGCCGCAACAACGAATTCGAATAGGTTAGAATAAGCCAAGCCTACTCATTTGTCTACCAATGCCTACTAAAGTGGCTGCGTTGTATCAACATAATGCTAATACTTACAAGTGGAAATTTCTACCTTCTTTGGGGTTGTACCCCTCTTTGCAAATTATGTAAGAAGTATCGTGTCTTTACCAGTCGCATCGTAAGTCTCATGTCGTTGCTCTTGACATCACGAAAGCCCTCGATCAACTGTGGCATGCAGCCCTCTTACAGAAGCTTCCATCCTATGTCCTCCAAGAGAAGCATTGAAGATCGGGGGCTAGCTTCATCTCCGGCCGCAAGATATCCATAGTACTTGATGGGATTCCCTCTGCGTTCCACAATAGCAATGCAGGCGTTCCCATAGATCGGTCGGCAAAATTGTTTTTTTTTTCTACTTATCAACGAACTCATGTCCTGCAGGATGCTTCCAAGTCACAGTACTGTACCTTGACCAACAAGAAGCCCCTTAGCGCTTATCCGATTTCGATGGATAACCGCATTCTGCCAAACAGGCATTCACTTCAACTGGTTGGAGTCTAGAACTCTAAAGAATTGATTTGGTATGGATACATCTCGCCTATCGCCACAGCTACAGATAAAATGCTAGGTTATTTGTTTATGGGTAGGATGTACTTTCTTCCGCATAACCTCTTCATTTTGTACAAGACACAGATAAGACCCAGCCTTGAGTACTTCTCATATGATTGGGGTGTAGCCATCCCGACGACATGCTCCATGCTTGATGGTGTTCAGAGAAGGGCTGTCTGACTGATCAATGACGCTTTTAAAACGCACAGTTTCTGGACCCTTTCTTATCGACGGATCGTGGAGAAACTGGTTCCCTTCTATCACTATGTCAATGTACTTTGCTCCTCAGACCGCCGCGCGTGAGGCCTGACAGATGGACTCGCCACGCTCCTGCCTCCCATCCCAACATATCTATCTCAATTCTGATAACCTCAGGCAGTCCAAAAATCAGATCAACAAGGCACCTTTTGTTCCTTATAGCAGTCGCGGTGTCCCAGTATTTAGATTTCTGGTTACCCGACTACTTTACTTTAATAATTGAAAAAAAATACCAGTTGGACTGAGTACCCCAAAAATAAAGGAAATTTGACAAAATCTTTCACGTTTTCATCTGAACCCACTGATTGCCATAAGAATGTGTTCAACTTATATGTACTTCGCAGTAGTACATCGGAAATTGTATAAAAGTGTCAAATGGTCCCAATCGACATAGCACCGTACCGGTCGAAATACAAACTTTGCACTCCATAACTCACGGCCAATACAGATACAGGATCGTTCTCAATTTGGAGTTTTTAAAGTCAAAAACAATCCTAATAGACGAATGTCTTTCAAACAGTTCGTTAAAAATCAACCCGGTGGGCTTCCGTAAGAGCTGGTATCGAAACCATCGAGTTAGGTTTCTGGAATCAGTAATCGATTTGTACTGAGGTCTCGATCCTTTGTAATGTTCATTAGCACCTATGATATTTTTGGTTTTGTGAAGGTCGGGATTGAAAGGAATCGTAATTAACGGAAAACCTGAACAAATCGAAGAAATCGGTTCCAAGGCCGGCATCTAAACCATGCAATTGAATCACCAAAAGGAATGATTTGGCCCAGCTCTAGCCGGCACATGTGCAAAAATGGAAACTGTTGCTACTAAGATAAAGACAAAGAAATAGCTTTGTAGTTCTTGAAAATTGGTCCAGCGGCCGCGGAGAAAGAGGTGAAAAACGAAAAAGGTAAAAAATCGTCCATACTTCGTTTTTTGATGCTTTAGAGCAGGGTTTTTCAAGGGTTGGTTCGCTAAACTCTAGGGGCTCGCGAGCTATATAATAATAATTAACGTCTTTTATTTGTAATATTCTTACAGGAGGCGAGATTTAGATTATATATCTATTCTACCATCTAACCCCCTTAACAATACGAGATGTAAAAAAAAAAAAAGAATTTATTGAAAATTAATAGGCACCTGTATACAATAACGAATAATCCAAGTAAATACATAAGGAAAATATGAGGACACTTATGGGTTACAACCGATTTCGCTGCTGATCAAGAAGAACTTCTTTCACTTTTTTCTTGAATTTGGATAATGGATTGGTTTCTTTTAAACTGCGGTCTAAAGAATTATATGATTTGATCGCATTGTAAATGTATGAATTCTGAAATAGAGACGTGCTGTGGCGTGGAATTGGAAAAGTCTCTCTGTATCTAATATTAATACGATGCATATTCCCTCTACGTATGAATTTGTTTACTAAATATGACGGTGTTTTTGAATAAAGAACCTTATGAGTCAGATTTAGGAGCTGGTACTTATACATTTTATCAATTTTCATCCATTTGAGTTCATTAATGGCATTCGATATATGATCATTTACAAGCCTGCAACATGTATTCATAATACTTTGAATACGATTTCTTGTTATAATATCTAAATAGGGATAGTAAACCAGTAAGCAATACGATATCTTTGAAAATACGAAATATTCACACAATTGCTTTCTCGCAGATTTATGTAATATAGCCTTATTTGCAAATAAAACTCTGAGAATAGCGTAGCACTGCGTAATTAGATAGTTCACGTGTGCAACAAATTTTAAGTCATCATCCATTATAATACCTAGGTTTTTCGAATGATCCACAGGAATTAATTTATTACCTTTTAAATGTATGTCTATGTCCTTTTTTAAGGTATTCTTTTTTGTTCTATTTGCGTATACCAACATATTTGTCTTCAAAGGGTTCAAACGAAGATTATGACTACTACTGAACTTTTCAATTTGGGCAAGATCTTGATTAATTTTATTATTTGCGGTTTCCAAGTCATTACTCCTAAATGAATAGAAAATTTGAGTATCATCTGCAAAAAATTGTATGCTGCATGGTTTTACATCTGTTTCTAAATCTGAGATATATAATGAAAATAATAGCGGTCCTAAGACTGATCCCTGTGGTACACCAGAACAAATTTTTTGTTCCGTAGAGTACTGTTGATTTAGACGAACTTTTTGATACCGATTTTCAAGGTAGGTTTGAATAAACGAAAGAGGTTTTTCAGAAAATCCATAGTAACTGCATTTAGATACAAGAAGTGAGTGATTAATGGTGTCAAATGCTTTAGTAAAGTCAAGAAGTATGAGAGCTACTGCTTTTTGGTTATCAAGTGCCATTGTTATATTGTCTGTTAAATCACAGAGTGCCGAAGCTGTATTATGACCTTGTCGAAATCCAGATTGTTTAGATGGAATAATTTTGTTAGAATATAAGTAGGCGCACAACTGCTCGTAAACAACGCGTTCCAATACTTTAGAGAGAAAATTGGCAGTAGACTGATCGGTCTCAGTTGACCATAGTTAGTAGGATCAGAACACTTAGGTAGCGGAATAACTATAGCGCGTTTCCACTGATTGGGGAAATATCCCCTCTCTAAACAGCAGTTTATAATATGCGTTAAGTAGACATCAATTTCAGGTATACATAGTAGTATCATATGCAAAGTTATTTCATCTGTACCACTAGAATTTGATTTTATTTTATGTATAATTTTAACAACGGTGTCAATAGTCACTTTATTAAATTGAAATTTGAATTTTGAGTTATTTTTATTAGCTCGGTAATATGCAATTTTATCAGCACAAGCCAAATCACTATTCTCGAAAATTGAAATGAATGCCTCATTTATTTTATACGGATCGGACAAGCTCACGGGAATTGTAGAATCTTTCTGAGATTGTACTTTGAAAGTCTTTAGGGTCTTATAAAACTTTTTTATATCCTGATTTTGAACAGCTTGTAAATAATCTCTTTTTCCTCTTCGCACGAGCGTTAATGCACGATTTCTGAAATATGTATACTGTTGCCAAGAGGCGGCTGTACGATCACGTTTGAACTTTGACAAAGCTTCAGCCCTCTGCCTGAATACACTTTTAATATTATCATCCAACCAAGGAGCTGGAGCTTTGTTTACACGCACTACCTTTTTTGGACAGTGAACATTAAATAAGCATAAAATACAATCTGTTAAAAAGTTAATTTTATCTTCAATGTCATCTATCGATATAATATGCCACCATGCAAAACTCTTGAGATCTTGTTCAAACGCTATTTCGTTTAAACTATGTAACAAATTTCTGTTGATTTTTAGGAAGTGCAATACGTATATCACAGAAGGTTAAATAGTGATCAGTAATCATATCAGCATTAATAGCGCCACTCCTAAGACAACTCTCAGGCTTGCTCAAATAAATAGAATCTAAGAGAGTGAGTGTCGATTCAGTTATCCTAGTCGGTTCAGATATCACCTGTTTCAGATTATAAGAATCAAGGCATTTAGTCAAGTTGTTACAAACTAAGAGCAAATTAACATTGATATCCCCTGCAAGGATGATATCATCATATTCAGCTAATATGGCAGGCAACATGTTATCAAAGGTATTACCGGCTTCTGTAACAGAGCTATGTGGGGGCCGATAGAATATACCAATAGCAATTTTTTGTTTTGGAAGCTGCACCTTCAACCATATATATTCAAGACTTGGGTCTTGCCCAAATGAAATTATGGAAGAGTTGTAGTGGTTGTTTACAAAGACTGCAACCCCACCACCTCGCCCATCTCTATCACAGCGATAGCAGTTGTATCCATTCATTCTTATATGGTCATTAGATATATCTTTTGATAGCCACGTTTCCGATATTCCAACAATATCAAGGTTGTTGTTTTGAACCAGTGTACTAAATTCATGAAATCCTGATAAAACTGATCTGCAGTTTATATGACCAAATTTTAAAACCTTGAATTTATCACTATTCATATTCAATTCTAGATTTCAAGTATGTAACATATTTTTTATAAGTTGGACAATCCAAGTCTTTAGAAGAATGACTAGTATCAAATTGAGTGTTGAATTTAGAATTGTGATTCATACAGTTTGAACAATTCTTAAAAGCAGATTTACAATTTTTTTCCAAATGATCTTCAGCACATAAATGACATGATACTTTAGAATGTATACAATTTTTTCCATGTGACCAAAATCTGAACATTTATAGCAGCGTATAATTCGTACATAATCCCGCACAGGACATCTTTGCCAACCCATGTATATATGACCTCTATCTAGCAACGTTTTTCTAAATTTTGGGCTAACCTCAATGACAACATTTAAAGTAGATTCGGAACATCTAAAAGTGGTTACAGTTTTTATATCATCACTACTGAAAATACCAAATTCATTCTGGGACAAGATCTTATCGATTAATCCCTCAGATTTTGTGTAGGCGCAATCTACAATGCGTGGGCGATATTTCTTGATCTCATTGACAGTGAAGTTCGCACCGAGTTCTCCCTGTATACTCGCCATCAGCTTGGACATTGATGCTTCATTTTCGCAGCTAAGAATGATGCCATTATTCACCCTCCTCACAGAGTTCACACAGATATTTGACTTAGCTGGATCAATGCTCTTCTTCAAATCTTCCAACACATTAGAGTTTGATTTGTCCGTACTTTTTATCATCAACTTTTGTGTATTATTAATTTTATCTACAATCTTCTCATCTCTGCTTTTTTTTTACTCTTTTACAGCTCCACTATATAATTTAATTACATCATTACAACGGGTGTATGAGGTAGTAGCTTCTATTTTTTCAACTCTTTCATTTATTTTCCCCAAAGAAGTGATTATGGTTTCTTTATCCACTATACTGCTAATGATCAATTCATAATGCTCCTGTAAACGTCTGTTCTCATTAACTAATTGATTGATATACCTCTCTTTATCTAAAATTATTTCATTCTTTGTTTCTAATAGCTTCTTCAGGTACTGTACTTCTTGCTCTATTGTAGTATTTGCATTATTCTTGGATAAATAACTTTCATCTTTATCTTCTTGTTGCTCTTCTCCATCCTTCTTTTTTCGTCTAGTCATATCGGATAAACACCCTATGTATAGGCTAGGTTGAAAGTTGATATATCTTGACAAAAATGTGACTTTTGTGACACAATTTCGGGAGAGGTTAAAGAAAAATGACCGAAAATGCTTGGTTCGTCCTTGGAAGAGCTGCTAACGTTTCTGTAAGTACTGGTGTTATATGAAGGTGGTTCGCGAAAAAGGTATGGTAATGGCGGAATTTGTCCTCAATATTGCCACACCGCCGTTACAACAATCCGGCAAGAGCTCTACTTCAGTGAATCGAGCGCACCGAGATCTTTCTCGCAGTTATAGAAGTACGAGTAGAGTCGATGGCGCTTCGTGAGCCGTACGCATGTCGAACGTGAAGATGGATAGCTGGTTAAAAGCGGGCAGTTTTGTGAACTCTGACGAAAAGCAAGATGAGCAATCTTCTTCTTCGGTTCCCGATTTGGGTCCAACACAAGGTGGCGATATTGAAAGTTATAGTGAGGTACCTTCTCGCCAGAATAAAAGTAATGAGAAAATAGACAAGCATGGTGGAAAAAAGGAAAGAAACCAAAATACGACACTGACTATTTGCAAATAGGTTTTTATTTCACCGGAAAAGGGTCAGAATCACTTTGTGTTATTTGTAATGAAGCCCTGGCCAACAGTTCAAAACCATCGCTTCTTCGTCGAACAGTGTTGAAAGTGAACTTTTGAAAAGAATAACATTGAATTATTTTACTATTTAGCTTGACGAGTCGACCGATGTAGCAAACTGTGCAATACTGCTCGTGTACGTTAGATATGTTTTTAAGAATTCCATTCAAGAAGATGTTTTTTTGCCACTAGAAACTTATACAACTGGTGCAGCAATGTTTAATCTGATCAATGACTATTTTGAAAAGCATGAAATCAACTGGTCATTTTGCTTAGGTGTATGCACAGATGGTGCAAAATCAATGACTGGAACATGTCCTAGTCTTGTGGCACGAATAAAGGAGATCAACGAGAATATAGAATGGACTCACGGCTGTATTCATAGGCAAGCATTGGCATGTAAGCATATTCCTGCAGAGTTAGCCAGTACTTTAAGCAAAGCTGTAAAAGTTGTGAATTTGATAAAGTCCCGTGCTACAAATTCTGGTCTATCTCTTGAACTATGTGAGGACTTGGGAGTCTCCACGTCTCTTTATTATTTCATACAGAAGTTAGTTTAAAAACTTGCGTACTTAGCCGATATTTTTTCTGAATTAAATGAACTAAATATGTCTTAACAAGGTCCAGGAATCACGATTTTAAATGTTCATGATAGAATAGAAGCCAAATAGTACTTACTGTTTTATTTACTCTCACTAACGACTGCTCAGGGGGTTCGCCGATATAATCCAATTTTTATAAGGGGTTCGCAGAAGAAAAAATGTTGGGAACCGCTGCTTTAGAGGTTCCTAATTATTTTCGGACAAAAGTTTGTAATGGTCAGAAGTTGGGGGTTAGGGGTTGCAGGAGGTGAGGAGGTTATGCATACATGTTTTGACGTTGGTATATTTATACGCCTTCAACCCCAGTAATTATACTTGATAATTATACTTTCTATTCTATTGGACATATTACACTCATCATAAATGTCCCCGTGCATTCACACTTTAAGCCGTACCATATAATATATATATATATATATATTTCCAAAAGTTGTATGTCGGTACGTGATTCGATTGATGGTCGTGAATCTCAGTCGGCAGTCGCGTCCATGCTGCTGTGGGCTGTATGCTGTAAAAGTCAAGATCGTCATCCATACGGAATGTGTCATAGCAACGATCATGTGCGCCCGTAAGAGTTTCTCTTGGAGTGGAGGGTCAAGACGTTGATATTTTATAGAAACAAAAATTTGGGAAAATTTTCCCATCATAAAAGACGGATGTTTCGGCTGCTACGATAGTATCTTACTTCACACTGTCGGTAAAGACAAGACAGCAGATGTTTGAAATACATACGCTTTTCGAATACAGATACTTAAAACTTGTATTTGAGTAGGTTTTGAGTTGCTCCAAATGGCTTTAGTCACATCTAACTAACAAACCTTAGATTCGAATGTTTTAGGCTAATATAACATGTTTTTCGACTTTTTCTAGTGCAAGTCCTCCGAGTTCCCTCTTCAAAGCTATATAACAGGGTGCAAACAAAAGTACTCTAGGTGACTGTTAGGGACCTTTCGGGGGCAAGAATCAGATACGTCAAAATGACGTGACGGGCGAACATCATTTTTCGTTGACTCCGAGCTTGAATATTTATTTAGTGCTGAAACTTAGCTATTCTGTAAATAGTTTTGGGTATATAAAGACTGAGCAGGAGCCGCGCAATATAAATGAGTATCTCCCAAGGGGACTTGCCCCCTGGAAAGAAAATGAAGGAATCGGAGGATTCCATGAATGAAATTATAGAAATAATTCCCAGGTTGGTAATAATAATAATAATAATAATAATAATAATAATAATATTTATTCGCCAAAATACAAAAAATGGGCAAATAAATATGAAAAAACCACAGAAGGCATCGCCTGTGTGTGGTTTATATCTTAATAACTAACAATCAATCATATATGTGTATAACAATTATTGTTAAATCTAAAAGGTATTAATGTAATTGGAATTTTGTAGATTTAGTTTTCTATATAATTATGTAGTCATTCGCTGCACATTACTAACCCAGTCTTTCAATTTTCTTCTAAATTTTTTTCCAAAATTAAGTATCTTTATTTCGTTTGGTACTACATTATATAATTTAGCTGCTAAGAATTTAAATGATTTTTTGAATAATGTTTTGTGTGGTCTTTGGATATTAGATGAGCCTATTCGAAATCGTGTGTTATGCTCGTGTTTATAGGATTTTTTCTTTTTATTACAATACTTATGGTATAAGGTGGTGGCATGTAAGAAATAAAGTTGTCTTGTATCAAGTATCCCTGTTTCTTGATATAAGTTGTTCGTTGGATATAATCTTGGCTTATGGAAAATGGCTTTCAAAACAGTTTTTTGTGCTATATTCAGGTCAGAAATATATGTCTTGCAGGCGGCACCCCAGGCTGTGATGCCGTATATTATATGGGTTTCAACTAAGGCATGGTATAGGATTCGCAGATAACTTTCTGTAAGAATGTTAGCAAGCATTTTGAGTTTATAGGCAACATTTCTAATTTTTTTGATAACATATTTAATATGGTTATCCCACCTTAGATGTGAGTCTATAAATATTCCAAGATATTTCAAAGTGTTAACTCTATCGATTTTGGTCTTTTGGCCATGATAATTAACGGAAATTTGTTCGAAGGTAGGTAAAAATTTTGAATAGGATGTAAATGTAATAAATTTTGTTTTTTTGAAGTTAACTGTTAAAATTTTAGTATCAAACCAGTCAATGATCCTTATAACATCCTTTTCAGCTATTTGCTTCAGTGTGCTCCAGTCATCAGCTTTATATAATACGAGGGTGTCATCTGCAAAACATATAATCTTTCCAGAACTGTTAATTTTAAGTAGAGACTAAATAATAGTGGGCCTAGTACTGTTCCTTGAGGCACACCACACTTGATGTACATTTTTTTACTGTAAGTGTTAGTGATTTTGACAGTCTGTGCCCGACTTGAAAGGTAATTTTTTAAAAGGATTTGTGACGCTCCCCTAAATCCCAATCTTTCCATAACTTTCAGAAGCTCGACATGGTTAACCGTATCAAAGGCATTTTTTAGATCAACAAAGATACCAATAGTAGGTATCTTTTTGTTGACATTAGAGTTAATTTCATCCATTGCAGCCAAAATTGCATCTGTAGTAGATTTTCCTTTTCTAAATCCATATTGGTCAGAACATATAATTTTGTTTTTGTCCAAAAATTGTAATATCTTTTTTGTAGTAATTTTTCGAAAATTTTGGCTATATTCGATAGTACTGATATGGGTCTATAATTTGATGTTTCCATTCTGTCACCGCCTTTATAAACAGGAGTAATAACAGTTGTTTTAAATGCATCAGGACAAATTCCAGATTGGAAACACCAATTAATGACGTAAGAAAGTGGTTCGGCTAAGTCGTAGGCTATTATTTTTAAATGCTCAGCTTTGATACCATCTATACCAGGACTTTTTTTGGTTTTAAGTGATAGGACAGCTTCTTGTACTTCAATCGGACTAACGCTTTCTAAAAAGAATGAATTGGGAAGTTGGGTTTTGTGAACTTTTCGTTCGAAACCATTTTTTTAATACTGGATGCTAAATTTTCTCCAACATTAGTGAAAAAATTTAAGAATGCATCGGATATTTGTCGTTTATCTGTTAATATTGTTCCATCATGATTCTTAATTTCATCAATATTTGGTTTTTCTTGAACGTCTTTGTTAGTTAAGTGATCGACAACTGACCACAGTTTTCTTGGATCAGATTTGGCATCTTGTAATTTTTTTAGATAGAATTGGCGTTTTGCTTCTCTAACTACATTGATAAAAATATTTTTATATTCTTTATATTTATGGGAGGTATTTGCACATGGCGATGCTTTCATTATTTTGTATAGTTCCTCTTTTTTGTTGGCAGACTTTATCAAACCTTTAGTTATCCAGGGATTCCTGCTTCTGTCAAAATGTTTAATTTTAACTCTGTTTGTACTACAATCAATTAAATATTTTATGCGTTCAATGAGTGTGTTTGCAGCATCATTAACATTCGTTGCACAGTACACTGCTGTCCACGATTCTAATTTGATATTTGCAAGTAGTTTTTTATTATCGACAAAACACCTAAATTTCACTGTTTCATTATTGGAGATGGATCTACTTTAATTTTTTTCTGGTGATGATATAAGTATTACAGTGGGTAAATGATCGGTAATATGGTTTTCAACAATTAACGGTATGTACCGAAAGAAATTTGAAAAATTTTTGATGAAACAATGATCAATGCAAGAACTGGAACTATTATTGACTACTCTTGTTGGTAAATTTATATTTGATATGAATCCGTTGCTCTGCATTACAGTGAGGTATTTGTTTACTAATTTGGTATGTTGGAGTATATTAATATTCATATCTCCTATTATGATGTGGTGTGACTGTATGGCATTTTTGTTATCTAACAAAAATTTTTCAAGACTTTCTACAAATGTATAAGGGTTTGATGATGGTGGTCGATAGACAGATGTGACTTTTACACTTTTGTTATTAATTCTCAATATCAAATCCAATACTGTGATACCGTCATCAAATTTAACAAAATCACATCTGTAGTTGATATCATTTCTTACATATACTACCACCCCATCATTCTGGTTGTACGTACCATTATTGTAAAGCGTATCATAACCTTCCAAACAGAACAAAGATACATCATTAATTTTCCAAGTTTCTGTTAATATTATTATATCAAATTTGTGATTAATTGTAGTTAGGAAGATATTAAAACAGTCAAAATTTTGGTTTAGGCTTCGAATATTCATGTGATATAAGCTAACATTGAAATTAGAATATTCTAACCATTTATTAAGAGCATTTGCGTCTTGAGCAATATTTGTATTGATATCATTAACCTGAAAATTATTTACGTAACTATCCATGTAAAATTTTGCAAATGATATGTAGCTCGAAAAACGTAAAAAGAACTAAACGCTCAAAACATTATTCTGGATGAATACTGTTTTTGAAAATATAAATACGACGGGCATTTTTTGTCTGTGGGCGAGTGACCAACATCATTATTCTTATTATGCTTAACGTTATAGTTTATACAGTTAGAACATTTTAAAATGTTTACAGTACAAATTTCACTTCTATGTGCTTGTCCACATTTTAATGCACATTTCCGCGCCCTTACATTTTTTGTCTGTGTGACCAAACTTCAAGCATTTTCTACACTGCGATATCTGGTTATTATCATAGACAAATAAGTTTTGCCAACCTAGTAGTATTCTTGATTTCTTGTTGATAAATATGTCTCTATATAGCTCTCCAGAAACTTCAGCGAATATAGTATAAGAATTTCGGAATGGTATGTGTCGTACAAAAGTGATTTCGATTTCGTTTTCATTAATGAATGTATTTTGGGATATGATTTCTTCTTTAATTTCTGCTTCTGAAGGTTTTTTTTCAGTTTTGTAGCCTATGATCTTTATTTTCGGTCTCATTTCTCTTGCTCCTGATATATTGTATGTTCCCTTCAACTTAGTTTCTAGTTCATTTTTGAGTTTCTGGTAATAACATTGCTCAACTTGATTTTCGACGCCGCCGTTTTTATAATTATTTACTTTCTCT